AGGCCAACAGGCTCCATGGGGAATGTTCAGTCAAGTATGGCCTTGGCTCCCCCCCCCCCACAGGACCCCTATTAGTTCTATGTTTCTCCTAATAGGACCATGTATGTTAAATTGCCTACAGAAGTTCCTGCAAGATCAGATACACAAATTCACCAACCAGTTGGTCAATCAACCACTTCTTTAAGACTACCAGCCCTGATGCCCAAGACAGAGACCTACAACTCATGACCAACTCCTCTGGCTCCAGAGACTCTCTGCCCATCTAAAACCCTCTCTTGCTCTCTCTCTCTCTCTTGATCTGTCTCCCTTGCACGCATGCTCTCTCCTCTCTCTTTCTCTCTTTTCTCCTCTGTTGCACAGCTGCAAAAAGATCTCTAGGTCACTCCGAGTGTTGTGGTCACTTTCCTTTCACTGAGCACTTGTCTCAAAATAAAAAGGGCTGGGGATGCCTCTTAGTGGTTCAATGCCTAGCACGTGCAAGGCCCCCGGGTTTAATCTCCAATACTGCCAACAAGGGAAACAAAACACCAATTTTAGAGGTACAAATAACACCTCTGACATGTGGTCGATGGTAAGACCAAGTTTGATCACATACAAGTTACTGATTATTTCCTAATCTCCAATCTCTTCTCCACCGTTTCAGTCCGTGAGCCACCCCTACCCCAAACTCTATCCTGGACGAGGCAGGATCCAGGATCCGAGGCTTGCTCTCCCACCTCCACATTTGGCGATATTCTGAAAAAACTTGCAAAACCTGTCCTTTGAGCGATTGGCATACGGCAGGTGGGCAAATGAGTGTGGTTCGTTAACCATAGCCACGTAGTTGCTAGCAGTTTTCTTATTTACAAAATAATGGCATCCTGAGTTAAATGAAATAGGGTAATAATAAGGGACAATTTTCCGACTCACCAATGGCCATATGCCCACATTTCCCTAGTTGAGGCCATGTGGCTACGAACTGTATGTGCATCACTTGTAGGTCAAAGCAAGTAAAAGCCAGAGGACGGAAAAAGGAAAAAATAAGAGTGGGCCATTAATTTATTTTCCATTGGCATGTGTTCCGGAGACTGAACGCCACCTGACGTTCCCACGGGCCCGCTGCGTGAAAGAGCCATTACAGACGTGGGGCTGCTCCTGCAGCCCGGCCTGCGCTGCCGAGTCCCGCGTCCCCGCGAACCAGCTAGCGGAGGCTGAGCGTGGCGGCCGCAGAGGCGTGCAGGGTTAGGGCGCTGGGGCGCAGGCTCCGCGGAAGTCGGCCTGCGCGGGCCCGTCTTGCTGGGGAGAGCCTCAAGCGCCAGGGGGCGCACACGGCCGCCACGGGCCGCTCTGGTCGGCGAAGGCCGCTCGACTGCTCCGAAGCGGGCTGGGCAAGCGCCCGCGTTCCTCCGCAACGCGCGGCTGGAAGACCCGCCACCATGGAGGCGCGGGCGGGTGCCGGGCCTCGGCGGGCTGGCGGCGTGCTCGGTGCGGCCGGGCCCTCGTCCGCGAACCGCGCAACGAGGACCCCGGCGGCGCCCTGGGCGCGTTTCTCCGCCTGGCTGGAGTGCGTGTGCGTGGTCACCTTCGACTTGGAGCTGGGCCAGGCGCTGGAGGTGAGCGGACGCGGGCGGGCACCACTTCTCCCTCCCCGTCCTCGCCCCGTTCCGTCCCTCGTCCCTGCCCCCGGCCCCGTCCCAGCCCCTTCCTTCCCCTCCCCCCATCCCGCCGCGTCCCCTCCCTCCCGCTCCGCCCCTTCTTCCCCCGAACTCCGCCTCGCCCTCTCGCCGCGCCTCTCCCCAGCCCCGCTCCTTCCTCCCTCCCTGTCCTTCCCCCACTCCCCGCACCTCTCTCCCATTTCGCCCCGCCCTCGCCCTCGGGCCACGCCCCTTAGCGCCACGCCACGCCACGCCCCTCCATCCTCTGGGTCCAGGTCTCTCCTTGCTAGGCCCAGTGCCCTCTTTGGATCCCCTTTACGCACATTTTTAGGCTGACTTCTTCTCCTACTCCTTCCAAAGAATATAGCATCCTCCTCCCTCTCCTAACTCCTCTTGCTCCTCCCCCCACCCAGCCTGTTAACCTCCTCCCTTCCTCAGGGCTCTAGAAGGCTCCCTAGGAAAAGGAAGGTAAGTGGGAGGTAGAACCTGACTTTGCAAACCGAGAGTGGATACAGTCTCACATCTCCCCTCCCTCCCTCCCCTAATGGCACCGCTTGAGGAAAGAGCCAGAGTACAGAGTGGTGAGATGATTTACTCTGGGCTACAGAGCCCACCTTCTGTTGTCCACATTGTTTCCCAAGTGAGGCCTTTTCTTAAAGCATTCTCACATCTAGTTTCCTAAGATGCAGCCACTCAGAAAGCTAATTCTGAGCAAGTCCTGATAAAGGCCACGTGTCCTTGGGCTCCCAAGCATTTACTGTGGCACATTTGAGGGATTGGTGTTGGAGACTTAAGCCCACCTCTGAAATGTTCCATGGCAATCACCTGGGTCCTGGCGGTAGTTGAACCTGCAGAACTCTGGCAGTGAGTACATGGGCCATGACTCCCTGATGAGGTTTGCCTCTTGCCTATCATCCCTCCCCTGGAAATCTGGAAGAATGAATCTCGCTGACTGCCAGGGAGCACATATCTTGTATTCCCAACTCAGCCTGGCTGAGTGTTGTGAAACTCCAGCACTGTGCTTGATGCAGGAATGCTGAAGGAGGACACTGGTCACCTCCAGGAAACTGAAACAGGCTCAGCTTAGTCTTGGAGGATCAGAGAAAGGCAGTCAGAGGAGGGAACCTGTTTCAGGTAACCCCTTTCTCAGAAAGCTAACATAAGCGGCAAAGGCAAGGGCTATCCATTGATTCAGTCATTAAGTAAATCAAGTACGGAACAGCTGCATGAAATGGTCTCCTCAGGTGCTGCAAGATCCTATGACCATCAGACCTGGTGCAGGCCCTGCAGTGCCAGAGCTCAGCGATGTGGAAATAAACAAGAAGACAGGCTCTTGCCCTAAAGGAGTTCACCCTCTGCTAGAGACAGAGAGCAAGTAGTTCTGAACCTGTAGTGCTCATAGGACTCCTCCCTCAGCGCCTGTAGGTGGGATTCCCATGCAGATGGGTACACTGGAACCTGTACGCAAGGGTTAGAGTTAGCTTGAGAGAAGAGTGAATAGAGTCATGGGGGTGACCAGAAAGTTCAGGTCAGATGAAGAAAGGTCCTGGTTCTGCCACCGCAGCCCTTGAAAATGCACCTCAGTATCCCAGATCACTGGAGAGACTTCTGGGGTGCCTTGTAACCAGAGTGCCCAAAGAGCCCTTCCACTGTGTTGGCCACACCTGCTTGGGCAACAGTCCCTATTGCATTGTCTCAGGACCCCTTTTTAGTCTTAAAAATTATTGAGGACCCCAGAGAGTCTTTTGTTAGCATGGGTTATATCTATCAGTGCTTATTATGCTAGAGACTAAAGCTGAGAAAATTTTAAAATAGTTTTAACTTAAGAAAAACAAACATTACCAGGCACAGTGTCACATGCCTCTAAGCTACTCTGGAGGCTGAGACAGGAGGATTACAAGTTTGAGGCCAGCCTAGGCAATTTAGCAAGATTTTCTCAAAAATAAGAACTGGGTGTAAAGCTGTGCAAGGCCCTGAGTTCAGTCCCTAGTACAATACAAAACACACAAATCCCAAAACATCCTATGTGTTTTTTGTTTTGTTTTGTTTTGTCTTTTTGGGGTGCTTGGGGATTTGAACCCACTGCTTCATGCATGCCAGGCAACCACTTTTACCACTGAGCCACATCCCCAGCCCGCATCCTACGCATTGATGTAATAATATATGATTATGGCAACAACCATGTTTTTCAAAACAAAAATAATTGAGTGAAAAAGAAAGGTATCATTTGACTTCTTTTTGGTACTGGGGATTGAACCCAGGGGCCCTTAACCACTAAGCCATATCCCCAGCCCTTTTTATATTTTATTAAGAGACAGTGTCTCACTGAGTTGCTGAGGCTACTCTTGAACTTGAGATCCTCCTGCCTCAGCCTCCCAAGCCACTGGGATTACAGGCATATGCCACCGTGCCCAGCTTCCTTTGACATTTTCACAAACCTTTTTAGTGTCTGACCAAATAGAGGACAGCTAGATTCTCATGTCACGTCCTGCAGTGAGTCTCCCAGGGGACAGCATACCTCATGACCTCTGGGAACTGTGTGAGAAGATGAGAGTAAAGATGGTACTGACTTACGGCAATGGCTTTGGCCTTGTGGACCCCTAGGTGTTGCATATCATGCTTTGAAAACCACTGCCTAGAGTTACCTCTCCAAGCAGAGTTCTCAGTGACCAGGAGTGGTGACCTGTGCAGACTAGCTCAGATGAAAAGAACAAGACGCTGAAGTAGTCCCTGGGCAGGCGGAACTTGGCCTGCAGCCACTCCTTTCTCTAAGGATTTGTTCCATTTGTCTCCTCACTTTGGCATGACCCTACCTGAGCACTTAGCTCCAGGTAAGCCATGAACAGGAGTTTCCTGGTCAGTTGTTCTAGAAGGGCCCTGGATATGGACACAGAGTTCAGAGGCCAAGGTGGCCTCCACAGATTCTGTAAGACTCCTGTGCCCGTCAGACCAGGTACAGACCCTGACCTTAAGGAAAGGGCCCTTTGGGGCCTCCAAGTACCCACCTGTCCTCAGCCCCCCTCAGTGCAGATAGGGGTTCAGCCTGTGTCATCTTGTGGATGCTGACTCTCACGGAGGTATCCTGGAGCATCCTGTAGGCCCAGCCTCCTGGCCTCCTCTTCCCACTGCTGGCTCCCTTCCTCCTGGAGTACGCCTGACTGGCACCTCCTTGACCATGCTGTCCTCCAAGACTAAGGTTTGTAAGTATTATTAAAGTGCTTCAGAGAGACAGAACCAACATGGTGGATGGATGGATGAGGGGGATTAATGAGGGGAATTCACTCCTGTGATCATGGAGGCTGAGCAGTCCCACAGTAGACTCTCTACAATCTGGAGACCCTGGGAAACTGGTAGCATGGCTCAGTACACGTCTGAAGGCCTCAGAAACAGGAAAGCTGGTGGTGTACCTCTGAGGCCCAGGCCAAAGGCTGGAGTGGGGCTAACTGGAGTCTAGAGGCTGCAGAGCTTGGAGTCCTGGTCCAAAGCCAGGAGAAAAGAGCTGTAGCTCCAGGAGAGTCAGGAAATCGCCTTTCTTCTACTTTTTTGGTTTGAGCCTCCACCTGACTGATGTGCCTGCCTACATTGAAAGCAGACCTTCCCCAATTAGTCTACTCCTCTGGAGACACCATACAAAAGTATGCTTTTCCACTTTTCTGTTTTCCTTAATGCAGTCTAACTGACACTTGACACTAACCATCATACCTACCTATCTTGGCTTCACTGATTTGCTTTCACACATTCCACAAACATCACAGTTGGGGAGGGTCTGTTCCCTGACAGATAAGGAAGGCAGCAGCATCAGGGACAGAGTGCCTGCCTTCAAGAGAATTAGCATGCAGCTAAAGACACAAAAGGGATCTAGCAGCAAACCCAGACCAAACCCTCAGTGCGGGCACAGCAACTCACCTTTCTGAGTTCAGCATACCCCCGCACACCCCAGCATAGAGCAACCCTGTCCAGCCTGAATGATCACGGGGATAGACATGGGGTCATCAGTGAGAAGGGAGCCCGTGGACAAAGACCCAGCAGGCTCTGGGAACAGCTGCTTTCTGGGAGAGCCAGCCCAGGAGATACCATAAGGTCTCCTTTTTTTTTTTTTTAACCCACTCCCCTTGGTACTAAGGATGAAACCCAGGGCCACTCTACCACTGAACCACATTTCCAACCCTAAAAAAAAAATATGTATATATATGTATATGTATATATATATATGGTTTAGGTGTTGATGAACCTTTATTTTATTTATTTATATGGGTGCTGAGAATCAGACCCAGTACTTCACACATGCTAGGCAAGAGCTCTACCACTGAGCTACAACCCCAGCTCCCTTTTTATTTTATTTTATTTTTTAAAATAATTTTATTTATTTATTTTTATTGTGGTGCTGAAAATTGAACCCAGGGCCCCACACTTATTAGGCGAGTGCTCTACCTCTGAGCCACAACCCAGCCCTCCCTTTTTATTTTTTTAAGACAAAGTGTCACTAAGATGCCCAGCCTGGCCTCTGATCCTCCTGTCTCAGCCTCCTGAGGAGCTGGCATTACAGGGATGTACTACTGAACCCAGTTAGGGCCCCGAACTTTTAAGAATCCTACGGGATGCTTAAACTTACTGCAGGGGAAGACAGAGCACTGTGTGGCACCACTGACAGCAGCTGACCCTGACCCTGACCCTAACCCTAACCCTTACTCTGACCCTTGCCAGTGCCTCAGCTGCTGGACCTGGCTCCTGACTATACCTGCACAGCCTGCTGCCTCCAGGGCATACCCTGTCTCTAGAACATTCACAGCTTATTTAGCCCATCCATTCTCTGAGGATAAGGCTTGTCCAGATGATCACTTATAGGTGGGGCACAAGCCCAGGTTGGGGAGAGCCAGTGAAGACAGTTGCATGGGTAGAGAATGCCTAGCAGGAAGCTGCCATCACGGAGTGGGTTCCTGCTGCATCAGGTGACTTCTGAGCAACCCAAGAGGAGGTGGCAGGCTGTGAGGCCTGAGACACTGCCTTGGGGCAGTGGTGAGGGAGTGGAAGCCTAGCAAGTTAGCTCTAGGGAAGTGAGCTCCAAAGCTGCCCTCTTGATGCTATGGAAAGCCAGCTGTCCAGGCTGGAAGAGGCAGAGAGGCCCCACCACAGTCTGAACAGGAGGTGGTGAGGCTTGGCCAGGTGGCCACGGGCGAAGGAGTAAGGAAGCCAGTCCAGTTGTTCTGGCCTTGTGCTAAGAGGCCCAGGAAGTAGACCGTGAGAAGCCTAAGCGGAAAGGGGAGTGTGTTGAACCTGGAGGTCAGGGAAGGGATAAGGAACTGGGAGCGTCTAGGTCAGCGAAGACAGTGCACTGAGAGGGAGAGGGACGCTGCAAGGCACAAGAGGTCCAGAAGAAGAGCTGGCCACACCACTTCAGCTGCTGTCAGTGGTGCCACACAGTGCTCTGTCTTCCCCTGCAGCTGGTGTACCCCAGTGACTTCCAGCTCACAGACAAGGAGGTAGGTCCTGGCCGTCTTGGGAGTGGACATCCCCCAGGAATGAGCCAGCTCTCACTCACCAGACTCTGTGTTTCAGAAAAGCAGCATCTGCTACCTGTCATTTCCTGACTCCCACTCAGGTAGGTGGCCCCACCCTTCCTGGGTTGGACCCTAGCTCTGGAAAGGGGAAGAGACGGGCAAGAAGGGGGCTGATGGGGCCCAGGCCAGAGGCATCAAGGCTGCCAGTAAGAACGTGGGGTGCTGCATTGATGGGTCACACCCCCTGATCCCCACCCAGTGGAGACATCCGAGCCCATGCTGAGCCAGGAGCCAGCTTCTTCACATTCTCATAGAAAGATGGGTCTGGGCAGAGGCACCAGCACTCTGGTCTCCACCTGAGGCCCTTGTCTGCTGCCTGGTATGTTGCAGGCAGGCTGAACCAGCCTCCCACCTGGAAACTGAAGGTTCTTCTCTGTACTAAGTTTGTCACAAGACCTTTAGGTGAGGGCTGTGCAGGAATCAGGACAGGGGTCCACTGGGAAACAGATCCCTCGAGCTGAGCTTCCCCTCCAGGGCATTTGTGCCAACAGGGGACAGCTGGCCTAGGTGGGGCCTGGCTCACACCATGCAGGGCTCTGGTCCCTGGTCCCCACCCCTATGAGATAGTAGGAGAGGCTCCAACCCTGACCTGCGTGGGTGGGGCTGCCCCTTCGCAGGCTGCCTTGGGGACACTCAGTTCAGCTTCCGGATGCGCCAGTGTGGAGGGCAGAGGAGCCCCTGGCATGCAGACGACAGACCCTACAATGGTGGAGCCCCCGTGGCACTGCAGGTGAGCAGGGGGCTGCCTCTAGTCTGCTCCTGCCTTCCTTTCCAGGGGACCCTAGCTGACCCAAGCAGGCCCTTCTGTCGGGTCATTAACTGCTACAAGCTCTGCTTATTCTGCAAGCCCAGGTCCCAGCCTCCACTGGGGGTGGGCCAGCTCTTCTGGGGACTCACGGGAGTCCCTGGAGCACCTTCTTTGCATACTGGGGGGCAGGGCTGGGGTGGAACAGTGCATGACTCAGTGAGCAGAGGTGTGCAGGCCCCTGAGCTTCTGTGTCAGCTGATATGTTCCCTGGAGTGGTGTTGTCTACTTTGGACCCAAGGAACCCCAGCCCTGGCCCTGGAAGGCTTCCACTTTGGTAGCCGGCCCCAGAGTGCAGGGACAGCCCCTGCAGGAGCCCTGAATCCTCAGCTCCCTTCCTCCCTGCCTCCCTGTCCTGTTTCTTGCCATCCTTGTCCCTGGCCTAGACAGCTGGCCTGGGTGGGGCCTGGCTCACACCATGCTCCTTCCAGAGGGAGCCAGCACACTACCTTGGCTACGTGTACTTCAGGCAGGTGAAGGACAGCTCTGTGAGGAGGGGCTACTTCCAGAAGGTGAGCTGGCGGCCACTCTGGGGTGGTCCATGGAGAGGGGAGACTGGCAAGCAGCAGGGAAGGCTATGGCGTGGAACAGGAGTCCCAGTCGTCTAGGAGCTTCATTCCTCTGTAGCCCCTTCCTTGCCATCTGTCTCCAGGCCCAGGACATCCCTGTTCCTCATCGTCCACTGGCCCATCGCACTCTCAGGGTTAAGACAGCTTCAGTTCTGAATTCAGGCACTGAGGCAAAAGCTGCTTGGCCCCTGGGGAGGTCATTCCTGAACTCTTGGTCACTTCTCATTTCCCTCTGAAGGGCTGGACTCCTGCCCCACCCAGCTGTCGTCTGGGGGGTTTCTCCACTCTATTTGGGAGGCATTGGGTTTTCCCTAATAATCCTGGGGTCTGAATCTGGCCATTCCAGGGCAGCTGTCCTATGAATTGGGATGTGCTACTCCGGGCCAACTCTGGGTAAGCCTGGCTTTAGGGTCCCATAGGGCCCTAAGTAGCTGGGGTGGTGTCTGGAGAGGGGCATCATCTGATACCCTATGTCACTACAGTCTTTGGTACTGGTGTCCCGCCTGCCTTTTGTCCGGCTGTTCCAGTCGCTGCTGAGCCTAATTGCCCCTGAATATTTTGACAAATTGGCACCCTGCCTGGAAGCAGGTGAGTGACCATCAGGCACATCAACACAGTCTCCTCATCCCAACTGCAGCCCCTGGTGGGCCTGAGCACACAGCTTCTCCTTGGGGAGAGCTCCTGACATTGGTCACCTATGTCCACAGTTTGTAATGAGATTGACCAATGGCCAGCCCCCGTGCCTGGGCAGACCCTGAACCTACCTGTCATGGGAGTCGTCATCCAGGTGAGGATCAGTTGAAGAGTGAGGGCCAGAGGTGCGTGGATTCGCTTGCTCGCTCAGGCAGCCTCTCCCTTCCTCCCTAGGTGCACATCCCATCCCGGGTGGACAAGCTGGAGTCCAAGCCTCCAAAGCCGTGTGACCAAGAGGTGGGGGCTGGGTCTGGGGGACCTGGGCTTTGTTGAACCCTGCTCCCAGGCCAGGTGATATTGTAACCTCCCAGCCCACCTTGTGGGTGGCCAACCCCAGGCAAAGGGTGGAGCAGATGCTTTTCCTGCTCTTGTCCCCACAGAGGCCACAGTCACAGGGCCTCCAGTGTAAGGTTCGACCTCAGCCTTGACCACCCTCCCCTCCACTTCTTAGAACCTGCTGCCAGCCCCAGTGGTCCTTTCCAGTGTCCATGAATTAGACCTGTTCAGGTGAGCCCTGTGGGGTGCTACGTGCTGCTGCCTAAGGTGAGGACTGCCCATCTTGAGTGACCCTTTGGACAGTTCTGCAAGAGAAGACTTGTGCAGAAGAGGAAACCTGTGCCCACAGGAAATGGGCATGGTAGACAGGAAGGTTCTAGAAGGCAGGTGCCCAGAGAGGCTTTTGGGAGACACTTGCTGCCTGAGGAAACCCCTCTCTGCCTCTCTAAGCAAGTCTAGATCTGGGTTTTGAGACTGTCCTGCCCCTAGTTGGCCCAGCAGGAATCGGGGCTGCAGAATGTGGGTGGGTAGCCCCTACTTGGGTCTCAGGGCTGCTACAGGATTGCCAGCCCCTCAGACAGAGTCTAGGTTGAGTTCCCCATTCCCAGAGCCAGACTTAGTTTGGTATGTTGGAACGGGGGGTGGCCCTGCTAGCCCAAGACACACTCTTATATCTTCACATGTCCCTGCCCACCATCTTGCCACTGGGGTAGGGCCCTGTGTTCACCAGAGCTTGAGCTCAGTCCATGGTGTGCAACAGAGAGCTACCCAGCCCACAGGGGAAATGGCAGGGGAGCAGGGGTCGGGGAACCTCGGCCCTCTGCCTGACCTCCCCAACTGTTGCTGCCTGGCACCAGGTGCTTTCAGCCCGTGCTGACCCATGTGCAGATGCTGTGGGAGCTCATGCTTCTTGGGGAGCCCCTGGTGGTCCTGGCGCCTTCACCTGACGTGTCCTCAGAGATGGTGCTGGCCCTGACCAGGTATGAACCTCATGCACTGGACCATCCCGGCTGGGCCAGGCTGTCCCCCCTCACTTGATTCCTGCTGTCCCTGTCCTGTAGCTGCCTGCAGCCCCTCAAGTTCTGCTGTGACTTCCGCCCCTACTTCACCATCCATGACAGTGAGTTCAAGGAGCTCACCACACGCACCCAGGCCCCGTAAGTGCGCGTCCTCCCCACCTGCCCTGGCCACCGTCCCTGGACCTTTCTCTGCCTCTTCTCTCTCCCTCTCTCCCTCTCTCTCTCTCTCTAGACCAAACGTGGTCCTGGGAGTCACAAACCCTTTCTTTATCAAAACACTCCAGCACTGGCCCCATGTACTTCGAATCGGGGAGCCCAGGATGTCAGGTGAGGGGTCCTGGGGAGGTCCAGGTAGGGAACTCGGAAGCCTCACCCAGGTTGGGACTTGCAGGGGTCTGAACCCTATGACCTCTGGGCCTGCGAGTAGTCAGAGCTCTGGGCACTGAGGCCTGGCCACTGCACATGTCTCGCAGGGGACCTTCCTAAGCAGGTCAAGCTGAAGAAGCCCTCCAGACTGAAGACTGTTGACACTAAGCCAGGTCTGTGCCCGGCTGGGGTCCCTCTGCTGCTGAGGGTCCCGTTTTGCCCTTGGCGGGTCTCCCTCCTCTCCTTCCACTCAGAGGCTTCACGGGGTGAGGTGGGAGAATATTCTCCTCTGTGACCGTGTAGTGTCTGGGATGGGCTGGGGTGGGGTGTGCAGGGGCTGCAGGAGTGTGTGGGGGGGTCCCTGAAGGACAGAAGGACAGCCCAGCTCTCTCCTCCTACCAGGCCTCTACACCTCCTACACAGCCCACCTGCACCGGGACAAGGCGCTGCTCAAACGGCTGCTCAAGGTGCGGGTTGCTGGGAGGCGCTGGATGTAGGGTGCTGGTGTGCTCTGGAGGGCCATGTGGGCTCAGGCTGCTTTGGGGCTCAGCCCCGGACTCCTTCCTGCAGGGTGTGCAAAAGAAGCGGCCGTGGGACATGCAGAGTGCCCTGCTGAGGCGGCACCTCCTGGAGCTCACGCAGAGCTTCATCATCCCCCTGGTGAGGCCTGGACAGGAGGGGAGGGCGGCAGAGGGCTCTGACCCCAGGCTCACTCCCCTCCCACCCACAGGAGCATTACATGGCCAGCCTCATGCCACTGCAGAAGAGCATCACACCCTGGAAGGTGGGGTCCAGAGGGTTCTGGGAATGGTGGATTTTGTCCCCATCTCAGAGAAGTGAAGGGTGGGGTAGACGTCTACATGGAGCAGAGGTGGGGAGGGAGGTAGTGCACAAGTCACCAGGGGTCCCTCACAGGGCAGAGAAATGGGGAGGCCACAAGAAAGGGGTCTGACAAGCCCTGGAGGGGCTTCTGCCTGGGAAGGGCCATCCAGGGATCTGACAGGTCCTGTGAGGAGGTTCCCAGCCCCCAACATGCAGGACCTGTGGGGCTGTGCTCCCCAAGCACCGAGCTCACCTGGCCCCCGTCTCAGACCCCTCCCCAGATCCGCCCCTTCCATCAGGAGGACTTCCTGCAGAGCCTGGAGCATGCAGGACCCCAGCTCACCTGCATTCTCAAGGGCGACTGGCTGGGCCTCTACAGGTTGGTAGATGGTGGACACAGGCTGCCCATGGCCACCCTTGGCACACTGGAACAACCCCACAGCTGCTGCTACTTGCCACCCACAGGCGATTTTTTAAGTCACCCCATTTTGACGGCTGGTACCGGCAGCGGCACAAAGAGATGGCCCAGAGATTGGAAGCACTGCACCTGGAGGCGATTTGTGAGGCGGTGAGGAAGGACCAGGGGTGAGAGGGTGGGCCCAATCCCAGACAGAGAGGGGGCCTCAGTGACAGAGAACCCCAAATGCCCCTGTCAGAACATCGAGACCTGGATGCAGGACAAGTCGGAGGTAGAAGTGGTAGACCTGGTCCTGAAACTTCGGGAGAAGCTGGTGAGACATCATCCTGTCCTGCCCAGCCACCACCTGTCCAGCAGGAGGGTTACATCTGCACCTGACAACCACTGCCCTTGCAGGTGCGGGCACAAAGCCACCAGCTGCCAGTGAAGGAGGTGACGTTGCAGCGGGCACAACTGTACATTGAGACGGTCATCGGCTCCCTGCCCAAGGATCTGCAGGCTGTCCTGTGCCCTCCCTAGGGTGGGGCAAGGTGTGCAGTCCCTGGAACCTGTCTGCCAAGCCCCTCCACCCTGGGGTGACCTTCAGCCAAGCCTGAGCTCCCAGCCTTTGCCCCCTTCCCAGGCTGTGGCCCCCCCTACTTTCACCACCTTTGTCCCAGCAGTAAACGTGACATTTGGAACCACAGCCTGGTCCCTGACTGTTGGGGGATTGTGTGCTGGCAAAACCTTGCCCCCCTCCTGGGCCCCACCTGCCCTCCATGGGCTACAGCCAGAGGGAAGTGGGAAGGGACTGAGCTTTGGGCGCACCCACTGCCCACCCCTCCTGGCGCCCATCTGCCCACACTCCATGTTTGAGGTGTCCTTTAGCCTCAGCAGGCCGCCCTGCCTAGGAAGGGGGTAGGCCTCTCCCCTCACCATCTGCCCACCCCTGCCTTGCCTGGGGACAAGAAGGGCACCTCGTCCACAGTCAGGCTCTTGAGGGCAGAGGTTACTTTGCCATGTGAGGACCTGTCCCCTGCCTGCCTGGGGCTGTGGTTTATTGGGGTGGGGGAATCCAGGGAAGTGTGAGGGCCCAGCAGGGCTGCTGGGAAAGGCTCTCCTGGCATGGCCCTGGCTCCCTCTCTTGAAGCACCCCACGGGGGGCTGGGCAGTAGTTCAGTAAGAGCACCTGCCTAGCACGCGTGAGGCCCTGGGTTCTATCCCCAGCACCTCAAAGGCAAGAAACAAGACCTATCCCAGTGAGTACCATTTCCATGCTCTCCATACAGGCACCTGCCAGTGGCCTGCCTGGCTGTCCCCTTGTGTCCACCCCTGCCATGGAGCATCCTGACCAGCTCCCACAGCCTTGGGGTACAGCTGATCTCTGTGGCAGGAGTGAGGGTACCATTTCTGAGGTGCCACCTTTGGGTGTGGGTGTTCCCTTCATTCACCACCACCAGACCTGGGTCCGGTGAGGAACAGTGTCTCACCACTCAGCACAGGGTAGCAGCACCATCAGGGACCATGGGAGGACATGCACTGAGGTGTGGACCCAGATCTGCAGCCAAGTCTCGGTTGAGAATCACCTACTGGGAGCCTATGGGTGGGTCTCCTGACCACTCAGAACTTCAGTGTCCTTATCTGAAGACACTGAAACTAGACTATGTAGATGCCTCACAGGGCAGCTGCTGGGAGGCCCTGTCCACAGAGACTGGGCTCTGGCCCTGGGAGGCCTGAAAGGGGCACTGGTGGAACAGGCAGGTAGGCGTAGGGCTGGGGGAGGGGATTTTGCTTCTCTTCTGAAGCCCCAGGCAACTCAACTGTAAGGAATCCTGGCTCACATCCTCCTATGAAGCCAGGGTAGGTTGAGTGCTGCCTAGCTTTCCATGCTGGGCTTAGCCAAGTCCCCACGTGCCAAGGTGCTGGTCCAGTGTTCGTGAGTGCCAGCAGTATTTGCACAGACATCCACCCCCGACCACAGCTGCTGTGCCCATTTTACAGATGAGAAAACTGAAACACAGGATGGGTGATGATGGGCAGATGAGCTAGGTCACTCCAGTGCAGGGTCAGAGGAGACGAATGTTGGCAACAAGAGTTTGGGTGTGTGGAGGTGAAGACCCCAGAGTGAAGAAGGGTGACACCAACTCCCAGTGCAGCCCCAGGCAGTACCCCCAACTATCTGGCTTGGGTATGCCACCTCCCTACTGAGAGCCTGGTCTCTAGGGTTTTTCCGAGGTGCTGGTGCCTTCCTGTGTGGCCAGCTGCAACGCTGACCTCCACAAGACGGGGCTGAGCAGACGACAGAGGTTCTGTTGAAGGGCCCACTGCAAAGCCAGGTGCAGTGGCACATGCCTTTCATTCCAGCTACTCAGGAGGCTGAGGCGGGAGGATCACAAGTTGGAGGCCAGCCCCAGCAACTTAGACCCTGTCTCAAAATAAAATTTTTTAAAAATGAGCTCAGAACGTAATTCAGTGGTAGAGCACTTTCCTAGCAGCGTGATGGCCCGGCTTCATCCCCAGTGTCCCACACACACAACCTAAAACCGTGGCTTCAGCTGGGTCCTTCTGCCAGCTCCATCCTGTTGCTGCCTCCTGCTCTCCCAGGATGGCTGAGCTCTAAATGGCTTGGCCTCTGTCCCAAGCAGTGTCCTGGACCTGCCCTGCCTCCAAGCCAGGCCAAAGGTATACCCTGGAGGTAGAGGAAGGTCTACAGAGAGGTAGGGGTTCCAGCCCCCCAAATTGGAGAGGGCTCTGAGCAGGCCTGTGGGGGTCAGGGAGGGCTGAGGGAAGTCACGCTGCAGAGCTGCTCCGGGGGCAGACAGGAAGGGTGGCTTTTTACCCTCCAGCTTCCTGTATTCTATTTCAAGACTCCTTTAATCTGGGATAGTGGCCTTCCAACATCTTTGGATTAAAATGTGATAGTGCTTATCTTTTTTTTTTTTTTTTTAATAAAAAGTTTGCAGCCCTATTAGACCCTCGTAATTTTGGAGTACTCTGGTGGGGGGTGTTTGGCTGTCGTGACAGCTGCTGTTGTTCAGGACCCAGTTAGAGAAGGAGTGTGCTGGACAGGGTCAGGGCCTGGCGGCTTGGGACTGAGGGAAGATAGACAAACTGAAAGAACTAATGATTGACAGGTTCCCAATCAGATCTGCAATGGTTTTATCTAGCTGGGGGAGGCTGAGTATTGGGGCAGGTGCCAGGGTGGGGGAGCACTGGAGGAGGAGATGCCTGAGGAAGAGAGAAGAGGAAGTAAATCATCTGCAAGGTTGAGAAGTCCTCAGAGAAAGGATGTCACAGAGTGGAGCCAGAGTAGGTTTAGGCCCCAAATCCTATCTGCAACTGGAGGGTCCGAATTAGATCTCCACCTTTTAAATCTAGAGAATCCCAGGAGCGTCAGGACTAGGGCATGGGGCGCTCAAGAGGCTGGAATTGGGGCCAGCTCCATCCCCAAAATGGGACCCTCAGGAAGAGTTTCTGTCCCTCTTACTGTCCTGGAAAAGAGGCAGATGAAGGGCCCTGAGTGAGTTTTTGAGACTTTCCCAAGTGCCCTCTCTCCCTAGGAGGTTGGGCTGCTGTGGGTCCCGGTACAGGGTCAAGGTCAGGCAGCCCTCACCCAAAACGGCGGGATGGAACCGGCCTGTTCCCTTTTGGGGATGGGGCTGCTGCTGCCTGCTCATCTCAGAACGCATTGGGGACCTCTGGCATGCACGGGGTACCCCCTTAGTGCTAAGCCAGAGGCTTACCACCAGTGGACCGGGGCGTTCCGGAGAAGGTGCCCTGGCCCAGGAGACTCTACGGGAGCCAGTAGTCCTGGGACGGCGGCAGGTCAGGCAGGGTGCTGCCCGGCGCAAACCCCACGCAAACTCGTCCTGCGCGAGTCGCCGCTGAGCCCGGAGGCAGGGGCGCACCGGGGGCGCACGGGGAGAGCCGGCCAGCCCCGCCCCGGCCCGCCCTCCCCTCCCCTTCCACCAACCGCCCCGTCCCTCCCCCACCCCTCCCCCTCTCCCGGTCCTCCCTCTCTTCTCCCCGGCGGGGGCGGGGCCCGCGGCTCCCGCGCGCTCCGGCCCCTCCTCGGCCACACAAAGGCCCGTCTCCATGGCAGCCGCGCGGTCCGGAGCGCTGCGCAGAGCGCGGCCCGGGCGCCATCGAGCCTCGTCGGCGGACGTGCAGGTACCGCGCTTGGGGACCGGGCCTGTGTGGGGAGTAGCACTGGGGCCGGGGCTTCGCGTCAGCGCTGCCCTGCTGTGGCCTGCCGCGCCCGGGCTCGGGGATCCGAGGCACTGCCGCTCAGAGGAGGGCGCCGCGGGCCTGCGCCGCGGCCGGTCGGGCCGGGGCCGGCTGCCCCGCCCCACGCGCCTCCGGGCGGCGGACGAGGCCTGCGGCGACGGGCGTTGGGAGACTGGCTGGGCCGGGCGGGGGCTCCGCAGTCTCTGGAGCCGCCTCTGACCCGATCTCGTTTCCGACCCTCCCTCTCTGCCCATGCCCCCACTCAGTGGCCGAGACCCTTGCACCAGCGGCCGGCAGATCGCGTCGGTAGTGCGAAACCTCCGCGGCCCCAGCCCCCGCTAAACCTGCGCAGACACCTGGCTCTGCCGGGCTTTCCTCAGGAGCCGGACCCACCGTCAGGCCTCTGCAAGGCCTCCAGCCCCCAGGGACAGGGTTCCAGGGTGGAGGGCACCCGCGGCGGAGGAACCAACATCCAGCACTTCGCGAGGCCCCACGCCTCCTAGTAGGGTCTCCTCCGCCCCTCCTGGCCTGGTGTTTGGGTGGACACCAGGGACCCAAGAAGTCTTAGAACTTGGGGAGGGTGTTCAGCACTCAGGCCTTGCCCCACTGTTGGCCCTTCTCCTGAAGGGGACCCTTATGCATGGGCCGTCCCTCCCTCCTACGTGGTCAGGCTGTTTGGCAAATTTGGGGGGTCCTGTGTCCTTTCTCTGGGGTCTCTGAGCTCAAGAGCCCTGGAGCTTCCTGCCACGTCACTTGTCTCCTCTTCCAGCTCCTGGGAGAAGGAAGGAAGGGTTCTGTCTGTGGCCACCATGGTAGTGGCAGGACTGGGGACTGAGGATGAGGCTAGGCCCCAAAGCTGATGGAACTTATGGGGCCAGGGGGATTCTCTGGGCTCTCAACTTGCCCTGGGGAAGTCTCTTTTGATTTCCAACTTCAGCCCAGCCCGTGTGCTGAGGGCTTTAAAGCTGAGCCTCTTCAGAAATCCCCCCCCCCCCCACATACACACACAACCTACTGTAGGAGTGCAAGATTGGGTCTGCCCAGAGATGGGGGCTCTCGGCTGACTGCACCCCCAGATAGTACCCTGGCACCCAGGGAGAACCAACCGGAAAGGCAGACTGTGGTGAGAGGAGTCCTCCTTCCCTGGTCCAGAGGAGAAGATTCCCAGAAAGGTGGGGGTCAGTCAGCTCTAGCAAGTTGCACAGAAATTACTAGACCAGACTGAGGAACAAGCAGGTGGGCTGGCAGTTCTGAGCCACCCCCCCCCCCCCCCACCTCTCAAACCCCACCACAAGGTCAGGGAGGCCTGATGTCTGGCCAGGGGCTCCTAGCCCCAAGAGCAGAGGGAAGTTACTGAGAAAAACAGGGTTTGGAATGTGAGTCCCCCCTCCCCCGCCGGCCGCCTGCCAAGAAGGAATTATTTTGGATTATCCAGCCGTGTCCAGCCACTCAAAGTGGGAGGCAGCCGTGAGAGAGGGA